GCTGTACGCACACTCATAATTCCGTGTAGTTCTAGTACCAATAGTTCTGTGTAGTTATAGCACCAATAGTTCAGCGGAGCACTAACACGAATAATTCAGCACAGTACAATCAACAAAAATTCAGTGCAGCACAAGTTCCATGAAGACAGCACAGAGCCAGTTCCAAGAATACGACGCAGCGCTGGCATTAAGAACTCAATGTGAAACCGGTGTATAAACTGCACATGTGGGCATCGCTCGCTGTCATACCTCCCAGTCCTTCGCGATGCGGGGTGCAGCAAAATGCTCCTCGTCCATGCTGATCTCAGTGAGCACTCCGGTGTCGTCGTCAATGACCACAAAGCCCTCCTGTATGGCCAGTCTGTCAGAAGGCTGGTTACCGTAGATGTTCGGCGTCCATTGGATGAAGAACGCGTACAAATGATCGACTCTGCAAGCAATAGAGAATCGTTCAGTGATGACGAAAGACCACGCGCAAGTAGCACGCAAGCCACCGTCACGACACTGCGTGAAAACTGAGGGAACAATATCAACAATGAGCACATACTGCCAATTATGATATAATAACAAAGATGACATAATAACAATGATTACATACATGTATAACAATAATGACCTAATAACATTGATAAGGTAAAAACAATTAGTACATAATAACAACGAAGACATGATAAAATGATGACATTATTAAATGTGGGCATAATTACAAGAACAATGTTTTCAAGAGAACGTGATATACAAGGCGTACATAGAAAATACGAATGGTTTCTGTCTAATCAACTATATGTCTATCTGAGTATCCGTCTAATTTTGTCTATCGTCTGCAACTGATACATTGCAACAACCTTCAATTAGAATACGGCGTCTGCATGCCTGTGATACTGGTACGTTTACTGCAGCTTCTGACAATGGTTCCTAGCGGTATACCGGTACTGTACTACCCGTCTACCGCTGTAGGTACACTAGCGGTTCACATCAGGCATGAAGATTTTTCCCAATCGGAACGCCAACCAGATCATGCACCATCACCCGTCTTTTCATCATAAAGTACACATAGCAGGTGCCATGGAGTGCTTGCATGGATATACCAGGGAGGATATAGCAGGACAAAACACACCAATGGGGCCGAGAGAACGGGGTAAAAGTTAATAAATATTTATGGTAAATTAAATATATACGTAAACGTTTATAACAGATGACACCCAAATACAAAATGTGTTTATACAGGTTTTCCAGGAACAGGCGTGAGGGGTGAAACCAATTACAATAAAAGCAATTACGACCGATCTAAGTAAAACCCTGGTGACATCACCCAGCACCACCCAAGGGAGTGGATTTGTCGTGTAGGGGGCAGCCCTATAGACCGAAGGTCCGATAGACTGAATATTGCAAAGGGTTAGGGTTATAGTTATAGGGTTAGGGTTAGGGTTAGAGCATATATATGGTTTATAGTGGCATCATATGATTTATAGTGGCATCGGTAGATGTGCGGCATATTCACGTTCGAATACGGCATCAGTGGATGTCCGGATGCTAGGCGACCGATTCCGGACGTGTAGCCACTGCGTATTTGAATAAACCTTCGGTCTATCGGGCCTTCGGTCTATCGGACCTTCGGTCTATAGGGCTGTAACCGTCGTGTAGAGATGTTCGTGAGCATTGCTTAGGTCAAAGAAACAGCTAGCATTTGTCTAATCTTATAAATTGCTGCCTCCAAACACTTGCCTTGGAAATAAGATACATACTAGTGGCTGGAACACTAGAAAACATATTACGTGTATCGTTCAACGATTATCGGTGCTAGCCCAATTACCAGCAGGGAAGAAAAAAAACAAGATAACTGTAACTATAACACTACAACACAAAACTTACAACTAAAACTAACAAAAACAAAAACATAAAACTACAACACAAAATAAAAAATATGACAACATTGTTTCCTGCGCCGGTAGTATATATAGTACTCGCGGGATAACTGTTTTCTTGGAAGCAGCACATGTTTCATGAAAGAGCGGCAATGGTTCTTATCAGATATCATATAATATTCTATGAATCCTAGAGATGGTGTGTAAATAAATCATCCCCAAAGAATTTTAATGCATCGAAATTCTACTACTTAGACATGAACGGCCATGAGTCTCTAACGGCCTTATCTTTTGATGCCAGTGAGTTATGAAGTTAGGTGGGGGAAGGGGGGGGGGTGGGAGGGGGAAGGGGGAGGGTGGGGGGAGGGGGCTCTAATAGCAAAAGCAGTTCACCCAGCGGTGACCTACCATTTTTATGGCTTTATTGAAAGGACCATGAAATGTGCTTTCCACTGACGTGTGAAGAGTAAGTGTCTGATAACCTTTTGACCCTCAAGAGGAGGGTTAAACATGGATTTGTTGACTGTTAACAAAGGATTTTGTTTAAGTTTCGACATGGTCTGACCTCAGAAAATGTCTAAAATCTGTCCTGTGCCCCATTGACCTTTGACCTGTGACCTCCCATTTCGGCACAGTGATGGTTTTTCCTACCATGATGCTATACACCGACTATCACGAGCCTAGGTCGAGCCGTTTAGATTTGTGCCGCAATTCTGCATTTCCTCCCTATACCTTAAGTTAAGGAGTGAATGTTCCCCCTTCTTTTGCACCTCTTGACCTTTGACCTTTGACCCCCAGCTTCGACATCCCAACTCGTTTTCGGATTACCCCCCCACGTCCCGACTTTCGAATCCGTACGTCGAGCCGTTTAGATTTGTGCCCAACTGTTGACGGACGCACGGACGGACGCACGCTCATGCGATTCTACAAGCTGCATCTGACTATGTCAGATGAGCTAAAAAAGAAATTTAGTCAGGAAAAACCGTGTGAACAGGAAAGACGTTGATGCAGCCACAACATAACAAAGCCATGATACTGATCGTGTTGTTGCTTCTCGCGATAAAATGCTGATCAAATTAACTCGTTTCCTTACCGATACTCCATACTTTAAAGCAATACCCTGCAGCGTATCACTGGCGGATACTTCATGAACTGTGTAGGCTTCCTTTTTGCTGTAAGTAGTGGTTGCAGTGCCATACTTAGCCTGCTTTTTCACGAAAAACCCAAGCGACGCAGTTTCATCGCTTACGCATTCCGCCATCTTTTCCGAAAATGTCTGAAAAGCCGATAGGATATTATGCTAACATACTAATTTATCCTAACTAATAAATAATAATAATAATAAATTTAAGAAGCAACCAGTAGTATCTACGTCCGTGCCAACTGCTTAAAAATATGAAATCTTGCCAAAATAAGCATGAATTTCAAATTTGCAGCAAAATTCTAGCGCAAGATTGATCTCGCGAGAAAAGCGGAAGCTGAAAGGATTGTGTGTTGTTGTCGACTAGCCGTTGTTGTCCTGTGTTGGTAGGAGTCTTATGCCAATCTATGTAGCTTAGAATTGTGAGCATGAGTTATCAACTATACAGGAACACAACGCTCGGCCACACATTACAAGAAAGTTTGGATGAACTGATTCAGGTTATTATTACTTGGTATTTTTAGGACAGCGTCAAGTTCAGTGCCACACCACTGAGTGACTGTCACCAGGTCCAAGACAGCCAGTTTGTAATATTGTATCCCCCCAAATCCTGCCCAATTCCTGAATCCTGGGTTGGGAGCGGTGCAATTAGTACTTAGGCCACAGGAGTCTGATGTGATGTCAGTGAGAATACTAGGTAGTGTACGTGTTGCGTCATGCCCACAACCTTCCTCACGTGTCACAACACGCTCCTTGTCGAACTCGGACAAATTTCCTGCAAGTTTAGGGCGTGTTTGTTTGGGACGAATCCGTCTGATCCAGATAAGAGACCGGATACCAGAGAAGCGTCGCCTGAGAGTTGTTGATCCTGCCCGCTGAGCGCGGATCTTGCGCGCAGTTCCGCGGCAAGGCGCACGCGACCGCGGGAACGTCCTACGAAAGTATCACGCGCTGGCAGCTATTGATCCGTGCGCCAAATCGAAAGGCCGGCGCACGGATCAATTGCTGCCAGCGAACAGTCTCGAATTTTAGCGGGTCTAATTCACTAGCAAACATATGCACACGCCATCGGGCAGGCCTAATAGCGATGTTTCACGTGACGTCATAGATCTGCGTGCGTGCGTGCGCACGTACACGTGCGTGCATGCGTGC